CCCTGCCTCGGCCTCCCCGCTTGTTTCCTCAGCCCATTTCTCCTCCCACCTCTGTGATTTTATAAACTAGAGGCCCAGTGCACGAATTCATGCACAGGTGGGTCCATTCGGCTGCCCCGATCTGATCGGGCAGGGCAGGCCAGGGGGAGGGGACGCGGGAGGTTGGCCGTCAGCCACCGCCCCCCCCACCCCCCATCAAACTCCAGGTTGAACTCCGGGTGGAGGGGACAATTGGCCTATTAGCCTTTTATTAGATAGGACGCTCTCTTATAGTTTGGATCTTGGCTCTGAGTTCTTTCCTTGCCAGAGCCCAGTACTGAAGTGGCTGGACCAGGTCGGGTCTGACCTTTGGTCCCACACTGGGTGCCATGCGGGTCATGCTGCCCCCACACCCGACGTCTGCCACTGGTCCCATCTCTGCCACCTACCAGTCGGTTAACTTTGCAGCCACCTCGTCGCTGCAGGTTTTCCGTTCCTCCCTGTGAAATGCGAGGCCTGGTGGTTCACTGGGCTCCCGTGTCGGTCCTGCCGTGGCCACCGACACTCCCAGGAGACGTGCCTGTGGCCAGAGTCCTGGCAGGCAGAATCTGGGGTGCCTGGCCTCCCACCCCTCCACTCAGGAAGTGCTGCAGACAGGAGGGAGGGAGAAAGGAGGAAGGAGGAAGGAGGAAGGAGTGTGGAAAACTAGACACCTGGGAGAGAGTCACCATTTTGGGTAAGGGGTGCCTGTGTCCTGCCTCAGGCCCTACAGGACGTGTCCAGCCGGAGACCAAGTGTTCTCAGGGGTTTTCTCACGGGGAGTCCTGGGGCGCCCGCTGCCTGTCACCCAGAGGAGGTTTCAGATGAGACTGACCTTGTCCAGGTCAGTGGTTGAGCATCAGCCTGTGAACCAGGGGGTCAGGGTTCAATGCTCTGTGAGGACACAGGCCCGGGGCTCAGGCTTGATCCCCAAGGGCGGGCATGCAGGAGGCAGCCGATCCATGATTCTCTCTCATCCCTGATATGTCTCTCTCTCCCTCTCCCTTCCTCTCTGAAACCAATAAAAATAGAAAAAAGAAGATGAGACCGACCAGGGCAGGAAGCCAGACGACCACTGGTGTCTCCTGTCCCCGGTGGCACCTGGGCCTGACCACCCAGGAGCCTGCTGTGAGAGAGCCGTTCTCACGCCCACTTCCTGGTCCCCACACCTGGCTCGGGCCCCGTGGGAACTGGGTGGCTTCGTGTAAGAGCCGGTGCCCCACTGGTCTGGTGCCCACTTCACAGTGGCAGCGGGCTCCGTCGGGCCTCGGGGTGGACGCCTGACGCCACCAGCTCAGGTTCAGCTGTTTCCGGTTAGTGTGGCTCAGAGACGTGGGGGGATCTTTTCCTGAGATGACCCTCATCCAGCCCCCGACTCCCCGCGTTCACCTTTCAAACTGAGACTCTTGGCTGTGATGGGGGGGTGGGGGGGGGAATGGTGCCTTCTCCTGTCACCTCCGCGGGGCATCTCCGGAGCAGGGAGAGGAAGTGCACTCGTTATGGAGACGCTATGCCGTCACTAACTACGACATTACAAATACACTGGGTGACGGCTGACAGGTCTGGCCACAGGCCGGGTGGCAGGTGGCTGAACTCCTGGGGGAGCCCCCGAAATACCTTGCATCCGCCTTTACTGTGGCTGCTGTTGGGCGCTGGGCATGTTCTGTGCTTTCTGTTTCCTTCATTTTGCATTTCTTTCCGAGGCCCCCCTCAAGGCCCTTTCCAAGTCAAGTCGTTCCGTGGGCTCAACAAGAAAACAGGGACCTGCCGCCCCCACGCTCCCTGGAACGGCCACTCTCAGCTCATCTGCTTCTGCTGACCGGTGGCCCTGCCTTACCTGAAGGACGCTCTCCATGAGGTCTGTGGCCCGGGGTCCCCAGGAGGCCAGCCTCCATCCTTCACCTGCTCCCCAGGGTGCGCGTGGCCTGCTCTCCTGGCTGGGCGCGGAGGGGTCCGGCTGGGCCCAGGACTGGAGGCACTGTCCACAGCCCACTGTCCCGGCCTCGCCAGCCCCTTTCAGCGACCTGGGGCTTCTGGTCCCGGAACCAGGGGTGTCCCGTGCCCTGAGCTTCCCCGATCCTGCCCCCACTTTCCGTCACTTTCCCACGTGTCTGTCCATCACCTTCCTCGGGTCGCCTGCACCTGCCCACGCACGCACGTCCCAGCTCCCAGGCCGGGCTGTCGCACCCAGCTGTCCCTTGGGCCTCTGCTCTGGGGGTTAACCTCTGCCCCAGTTCTCATGAATCCTTTCTGCCGGGTCTCAGGGAGTGGGAGTCAGTGTGCTCAGCCCGCATTCACCCGGCGCCCGGCCCTGCTGGTGTCGCTGCGTGCTTTATCTCATTGACCACACTGCATCTCAACTCCAG